TCCTCCTCCTCCTCCTCCTCCTTCTTCTTTCTTCTTCTTTTTTTCTTTCTTAACTCCTTTAATTGAACTGCCTGGATTTTATAAAGTTATTAAGTGATACCCCTTTTCTTTAAACTGCATGCTGCCAAGTGCCCGTTTGTGCTCCCAATTCTCATTTCAACGCAGTGTTCTCTCTAGTTCCCATGTGTGACGTGGATTCTGTTGAGCTAAGGTAGACCAGAGGACACTTTAGAGATTGCCTTCCCTCCTCTATCCCTTCGGCCACTAGCCACCATTATGGTTTCATTGGCTGTCTGTATATACGGTTATGTATTAACTCGGGAATCCTATGGGCTGATCTTGCTCACCCACACATGGAGTATGGACTGAGCAAGTGAATGTGACTATTACAGAAATCGTATGTACTACCCAAAAGTGCCAGAATGACTCTTCTGTGCATTCTCCTTACAGAGCTGCTTGGTTATCCAAAAATGAAAATTCAAAATAAATGCTGAAAAAAAAAAAAAAAACAATGATCCTGTCGTCCTTTTCATTCATTCTGAGCCATTATTTGTTGTTTCGGAGTTGCTATTAAGAATTTGCTCTTGGGGCACCTGGGTGGCTCAGTTGTTAAGCATCTGCCTTCGGCTCAGGTCATGATCCCAGGGTCCTGGGATCAAGCCCTGCATCGGGCTCCCTGCTCCACAGGAAGCCTGCTCCACTCTCCCTGCTTGTGTTCCATCTCTCGTTGTGTCTCTCTCTGTCAAATAAATAAATAAAATCTTAAAAAAAAAAAAAAGAATTTGCTCTTGGGGCGCCTGGGTTAAGCATCTGCCTTCGGCTCAGGTCATGATCCCAGTGTTCTGGGATCGAGCCCCACCCTCTGCCCCTGCTCGTGCTTTCTCTCTCTCAAATAAATAAATAAAATATTTTTTTAAAAAAAAGAATTTGCTCTTCATTCCCCGGCAGTCTGAAATGCTGGTTGTTGAACTTCTATTCAGAGACTCCAGAATAGACACATAGGAATTTACATTGCAGTTAAAATCCACCTTGTGTTTATTTAGTTTTATTCAAGAACATAAGGAAAAAAAAAGAACATAAGGTAACTTTTTGTTGTGTTTCAGGTAGGGAGAAATGTCTACACTTTACAAAAAACTGATGTTTTCTATCGTGATCAGTATTGATCCACTTGGAATAACTTCAGAAGGTTTCATTAAAATTACCAGAACCATCCCAGATGGGTGAAACTATTAGTCAAAATCATTAGTGGAAACATCAGAGCACAGAACACAGTAAGCTAACTATGTGTACAGTAACAACTTCATTACAAAATCTTTATTTGTGAATTCCATGTGGACAGAAAACCAATTAAGTTGATTTTTATTACTTTAATTCTCAAAGGTTGATGTATTTTGCTTTTCAGGGGGAAAACTTTTGAGATTCCCCGCCAGTGCTGGGGCATCTAAATGGGATGGGAGTCTTTGGTTTAACAAGTAAGGGACTTTTGGGGGGTGAACATTCTCACCAATAGGTGGCAGGTGAGCCCATCCAGACTTCACTCACAAAGACTACTACTTGTCACTTGCCTTCCCAAGAAAAAGTGGCCTCTCCAAGAGTACCCAGGGCCAGACATAGATGACTGGGAAAATGCTGGGAGACTCTGAGCCCTTTCCAGCCCTGCCGAATGTTGCTGCCAGTGCAATCATCTCCTTATTAAAGCATTGGTTTCCAGAAAAGCCTCATTTACAATGCACTGTGAAAAGTAGGTACCACGTTGCCTGTCAGAGCTGATTATGGGAGATTTGGTGGGAAGTTTGGAAGAAGAGGGGCTTTTCTGACCCCCTCGTCATTAGACAGGGCATACCTGGTTTGGGTACAGTTATGCAAAGTATGGGGCAGCTAGCAGTGGTCCTGAGACATTGTGTGCCTAGGAAGACGATGCAGTGGGTTTGCCGAAAGAAAATCGTTTCTGCCAAAGGTGAAGATTAACTCGTTTTACACTTGTCCAAAAAGAGGCTCAGAGGATTACATGTTTGCTCAGGGTGCCAACACCAATCACCAGACTAGAGCTGTCTAGACAGAGCACTGTGACTGTGGACTTCACACATTTCATTTATTTTCTTTCTAGCCTCGTAAGGGTAAAATACCTCACATTATTACAAATCAATTATATTGTCGGAAGAACGAAAGCCATCAAAGGCGTCTTGCCCTGCCACCTAGTGGTGAGTTTTCACCAGCCTGCTACGGAGACACGGCTGGCCGTCCAGGGCCAGCTCCAGGAACACGGCACAGGTGTGTGCTCCGGGATGGTCAGACACCGGTTCTGTCCTCCAGACAAGGTGAGCAAGGAGATGGGGCGGACGTTTGTTGAGTCACTACCCTAGCAACCGTATATCGGAAACCATCATGCGTTCAATTCTCAAAAGCTTGTGAGGAAGTTTTATGTTCCTTCTTTGTTTTACCTCCAAATAAATGGAGGCTTGGGGGTTAAGTACTGGAGGCCACTCAGCTAGAATCAGTGGTACGTTGCATAAGGCACCAGCCCTTGGGAAATGGATGCATTTAAAGTCGTAAATGTGGGGCGCCTGGGTGGCTCAGTTGTTAAGCATCTGCCTTCGGCTCAGGTCATGATCTCAGGGTCCTGGGATCAAGCCCCACATAGGGCTCCCTGCTCAGCGGGAAGCCTGCTTCTCCCTCTCCCACTCCCCCTGCTGTGTTCCCTCTCTCGTTGTGTCTCTCTCTGTCAAATAAATAAAATCTTTAAAAACAAAAAGTCGTAAATGTTCCTGATAAAGGATGTATAGGACATGACTTGCAAATCATCATAAAATACATAATTGTCAATTCCGTTTTACACTTGATTCCCATAGAACGCTTTCATTGATTTTTGTCATAGCAAGCCTGTTGCAGTCGACAAAAGGATGTTCTGACATGCACATCTGTTGATTTTTTTTACATTAATGATTAACACAGAACTGAAACAAGGAAGACACATGTCAGAATTTCACTCGTTCATCAATCACTGAGTGATTTCTTTGTTGAAGCAGATAAAAGTGTTTGCTAGAAGAGTATTTCCTCAATTTTTGTGCTATTCTCAAGGTGATGGTTCCAGACATGGTACCCTTACAAGTTTAATCTGCAATATTAACATTTTCTCCATCTCTTTCTTAAATTTGGACAATCAGCAGGTCAAGCCTCTTTTTGGAACATTTGCCAGTTTCCATGGTGTAAATGCTCCCGTGTGGCCAATTTCAAACAATAGGGTGACGTCACTGCACACAAGAGTTGGGAAGAGATGCACAGTAGTACGGGGTTATATTTCCACCACAAAGATACAATAAAGGGAAATAACCCCAAGAGCATAGTCAGTTGTACAGTTGATCATCATTTGGGGATTCCATATTTGCAAAACTGCCCACTTGCTAAAACTTATTTGCAACCCCGAAATCAAGCCGCACTGTACTCTCGCGGTCACTCACAGACATGCAGAGCGATGAGAAGTTTGAGAATACCTCTATTAGATGAGCATTGTTCATGCATGAGTCATAGGGCTGTTGGCTGTGAGTTCAGCGTTAATGTATCAATAATATGTATTAAATAAGATGTCTCCAAAGAGAAACATACATCAAACAAGATGATGTTTTGATCGGTGGATGAAAATGTGACCAGAGACTCTCAGGATCCTAAACCTGCTTTTCCCCTGATTACCATGGTTCTAACATTATATACTCACAAATTCGGTGATGAGTTTTCAACTATTTTGAAATTGCACAATTTCTTTTGTCTTTAGATTTTTTTTTTGAGGTATAACTGACATAGAACATCAGGTGCACAGCATGATTCAGTATTTGTATCTATTGTGAAATGATCACAACATTAATCTAGTTAACATCCATCACCACACATGGTGTTCAGGGTAACTTTACAGAACCTGACTACCGCTAATAATAGGAATGGACTGTAGTAAATAATTAGGACATGATACACTTTAAGTAATTAGTACCTTTGTTTTTTATATCATTTTTCATTAAATTATTTGTTGTATATTTTTTAAATTAAATTATTTGTAAATTGAGTATAGTTTTTAAGAATGGCTTTATCTAGGGATGCCTGGGTGGCTCAGTGGGTTAGGCTTCTGCCTTCGGCTCAGGTCATGATCCCAGGGTCCTGGAATCGAGCCCCATGTCAGGCTCCTTGGTCAGCAGGGAGTCTGCTTCTCCCTCTGCCTGGTGCTCCCCCTGCTTATACTCACTCTCTCTTTCTCTGACAAATAAAATCTAAAAAAAAAAGAATGGCTTTGTCTAACAACTGGCTTGCAAAATTCCTGACATTTCAAGTCCTCTCTGGAAAGTGTGCCCCCGCATACCACTAGCTAGAAGATGGCAGCATATGAACAAAGTCTGTCTGACTCCATCACCTGGTCTCTTGCTTTTTCAAACCTCACATGGAAACCCCTACTTAGGACAAAAAAAAAAAAAAAAAACTAGGTTCATTGCTTTCCAGGCTTTAGTCTAATTTAATGCAAGATGGGTAGCATTCGCTGGGAAAAGGACCACATTCCTTGTCCTGGGGCAGGTCCCTGCAGGACTTGGGAGGAATTTATGAAAGAGCGTGCTCTAATCCATGCCAGGAGATACACAACACCATTTAAATAACACCCCTGTGCCTTTGGAACCTTATTTAGTATAAACTAGCACAGA